TTTCATCAGACATCTACCCATTAGGGCTGATCAGACTTCCAAGATAAGTGAAGTTGTCGACGCGTTCGTCCACTTCACTTCCTATTCTTTATTCAGGTGTTGACGGAGACCAGTCCTGAAGCAACAACTTGCATTTAGATGAGGAGAAACGCACCCCAAACATCCTAGTGTTGTTGTTCAGTGCTACCAAAAGACTGAATTTCATCAGCGTTTTCACTAAACAGAGCTATGTCATCTGCGTATTCTAAGTCGATAAGTGGAACTCCTGATAGGAGGTAAATGCCCAAAAATTCAGACAACGAGAACGTTATTTTCAGCAGTAGGTCTATGCAGCCACTACCAAGGAAGTTCTACTCACTGCCTTCTCACGGCAGGAGTGTTGTTTACGAAATCGGGAGGAGAAAAGCGGATGTCTGATCACTTCTTACCTTTTATTTAAAAATATGCTCATAATTTGTCTTTGTATGCTTTTAGTCTTATTCAATAGTGGAAACTTATTTCTCTTTATATAAGAAATAAAACTCACAATCAGATCCCATGATGAAATCATTTGATGAAAATGTACCACTATTATCGATGTGACACTTCTCTGTATTTGTAAACAGGTGTATTTTTATATTTTTGTACCAACAATTACTCATCCATGTTTTCCAGAATCACGCGACAATTAACCCGCAATATATCTATAAAAACCCCTCGCCGCCTGCCAGCTTCTGCCAAACGCCAGTTCGGGGCACAGCCCCCTAGCACTCCAACTTCCCACAGATTGCACGTTCCCATTGAGATGGATGAAAGCCAAACAACAGATATTTATCTTATCCCAAGTCCTCGACGTTCAATGCTTGGTTCATTTCTGGGAGTAAGTGTATATTTTTCTCACGTATTATATCGATATTACGGTGGTGTCAGATTTAAAATCGTTTGATTAGTATTATTATAAGTTGCGCAGAAAGTGAAATATTTATTCAGATATTTGAAGATTGACAAAATAACTATTTACCAAGAGAGCAGCAGTGATGAAATCGTTTTGCCGTCCGTTTTGCCTGAAGCTAGGCATTTATGTTTACATTTATCTGAAATCAAATCAAACTAATTCAATCATTGTAAATTATAAGGATGCAACTAATAAAGAGAGATGGGTTTATTTGAAAAATATTTAGTATAGACTAAAGTTGGGAGTGTATAGAGTACGTTAATTAAGAAGGTCTGAATTAATGCGGAAAATGAAAAAAGCAGATTGTAATTCAATACTATATCAGCACAATAACCTACTAAATAGTGCTTATCAGATTGGTTGCATAGAACGATAATTTCATGGATGCTAATATGTGTTCTTAAGTTTAACCAGGTGGTTTGATTTCCGCATGTCGTCTAATCGCATTACGCTTCTTTCCATTCTCAAAGCTAAACCTATTAAAACAACCAATAAACTAGAATTGATTAACCATGCATTCACTTTCATTACTGCTGTTGATTCGTAGCTGTCACCCAAAAACTTCAACTGCGGTCGTCTTGCGAACTCTGCCTAAAAATATTTACACTTTCTTACGTAAGGCGAGCTACAAACGACCAACTTCCCTACTCCCTTTTATTAAGGTAGATATCGATAATGTACAGTACCGTAACAATATTTCCTGTTCAGAGGAAGAAGGTCGTATTCTGACTTTCCAGTGAGTATTTGCGTCAGTCTTATAGATTAGCACTCACCAACCACCATAAATAGTGTTGGTCACACCTTGATACAAATTTTGGCATATATTTGCTTTGTTGGAATAGATGAGCCTTGTCAACTCGCTTTGGTAGCTGTTAGATTCTACTCATTACATTTCTTCTTACGTAAACTGGTAGCCTGTTTACTGGTAAATAATATTATTTTAAGCATTTTATTATTTGCTTTCCGCTCTTTTTATTGACTATCTTTTATGTTTGAAATGTGAATAAAACATGAGTATATGCTACCTTTTCATCACTATATCAAAAGATGTTTCTTTTTGTGTTTTTAGTCATCTTGTACATCACTAAGCAATTTCCTAAACACAGCCTTGCGTACTAATAACAATCTAAATAATATTAATCATGGAAATTCCGCGCTCAATCGTGCCATGCTACCTCCTAGTCGTTTAGCTATGACACCCAAACCGATTCGACGTCTTCTACCTCGTTCATCCAGACAAAATTCATTCGATGATCTTGATTTAAATGATGATGAAGATGATGTTCCTTTCTCTCAACTTGGAAGTTCTCTTCTTAGTTTAACAAGTCTAGACAGTCTCTCTACACTGGATAATCCTGTTAATCGAGTCGATGTTATTTCTAACCGCAATACTCCAAATCTTAAGTGCCGTGCCGGTAGTGCTGTTTGGGAATCAGCAAGCCATCTTGGTTTCAGTACATCAGATGATGTTCGTCATTCATTCAGATCGCCATCTGGATCGTTTCTTGGAGGCTTTGATGAAGGTTGCTCTAGAAAGCATGGTAAAAAGCAGAAAAAACCGAAACTTCGCGCTGTAAGTCAAATGTTCCAGAGATCTTCCATTATGGTTAAAGCAAAAGAGTCAAGAAAAATAGGCTCTGACAAAATTAACACTGAGTTAAATTCTCAAAGTTCTCTACCTAGTTCCCGGCGTGACAGCTTATTTCGTGGTCTATTTTTCAGAAAGAATTAATTTCTTATGCTGCTGTGTACACATTAATATTCTTAGCTTGTTTGGCCGAACACATTTGTTCGCTTGTATAAAGTTTCATTTAAGACAAATTTTTCTAACACTAATACTACACATTAATATTACACATTATTTGCATTTTACCATATAGTGATATATGTAGCTAATTACAATGGTTTATTTTTCGTAATCGCCTTTTATAAATTCTTAAGTTATATTATCTAAATTTGTATAATAGCTATTAATATTTCACCAAATGTATCTCACGATAGCAGGCATTCAGAGATTTACTGCTACTTGCAATTTTAATTCCAGCTCGAGTGTTACTCACCAAATAACATAGAATGATTTTGTTACAAACGAAACGAATTTAGAACCACGTAATGAGTGAGCATATCTACTAGTTGGGAAGTTTTGCGGTGGATATAAAAGGCCAATATACGGTACGTGTATCAAAATTAAATCGCAACCTGAAAGATAGCGGTGGTTCGACTAATTATTTATGATTTAAAGACTAGTCATGATATGGTATCAATATAGGCGTCATGACTTACGAGTTATATTGATACTACGACCTATTACTAACTCCTAGTAAGTGTATGTTTTATGACTTCAGACCATACGATTACAATTTTTCAAGCTTTTTGAAGTTATATCATGGCGTAAATCAGAGTAGAGGGAAATTTAGTTGTATAAACCATCTAATTCTAATCTTGTGAACATAGAACTAAGGATCAATACACTCCCTTTTCATGAAATCACATGAATCTGAATTTATCCTTTTTAAGAGAAGCGAGAGAACCATTTTCAGAACAATCTTCAAAGCTTAGTCACTTTCCAAATTCTCTTCACTAAGTTACTGCAGTGTTTATATCAATAAATCTTCATAAGTTTATTTGCTGTCACTTTTAGTACAAACTTCAGTTTAAGTGTGATGTTCAGTATATTGTTCACAATCTCACGTATTATTACTAATGTCTTCCATGTGAACAAAACATTCTATAACGTTAATAGTGGAGACTTTATATACCCACAAATGGTTTTTCTTCCATATAAATAATGTCTTCATGGCTATAGTAAACTGATTTCTTCATAGTTTGATTATTGGAGACCATCATATGTATTCTTGGTTAATGATTGCTGGTTTTCTGTATAGAGGTGTGAACCGGTCAATATTCGGTTCATGATCTCAACAGAAACTCAATTTTCTACAACCCTATAAAGACAATTATCATGTGCTCACTGGTGACTGGTTTCGAGAGGTGATTCTCGGAGTTCTAGTAAGAAGCTGTCACCAGTGGACTTCAACTGTGTCAGAAGTGAGACAGTTTCCTACCAGAGATAATGAAATATGGTCGCACAATATCGTGGGTTGGTTGAAGTTAAGCATTAATACCGTTGGATGCGGGCTCAGTGGTCTAGTGGTTAAGCGTTCACGTGAGGCGGAATGTCCTGTGTTGAAGTCGCGCATCCAGGATAGTGGAACTGCATTGTTGAGGAGTTTCACACTAGGATGAAACGGCCATCCAGCGATTACAGGTTTTCATTTGTTGTCTAACATTTATCAGTTTATGATCTCAATAAAAGACTACTGATTTTACATATGAAAAGATTTTATTTGAAATGACTGATGATATAGAAAACATATTTATAATGCCGAGTTGTGGTTGTTTTCAGTTGGGTTTCTTATTTTCTGTACCTACGGAACTTAGTTTCGATCGAATGTTAGTAATGTAGATAATTCGAACTGGAAAAACTGTATTTGAAGAGCTGCATAGACTTAGATACTACATTAGGTGGGTCCCAAATCTAAAATAGTTTCTATTGAAACACTAGTATGCATTATTCACATTTGAAACTAATATCCTATAACCTAACCATAAATATTCCGTCTATCGTCCTGTCATCTAAAAGTCAAGTCTCAGAATCCATGTGTGAATATACCATTGGTTTATTCTAGCTATGTCATGTAACATAGTCTTTCTAAGTAAAATCTGTAAGATATATTTATGGGCCAGAAATCGATTATAGTCGCACTTTATCTTCCCCTAAATTTGAGATAGGATTTCTTCATTTATTTTTTTCATGACTATGACTTCAGTTACTTAAGATAACGGAAGCATAGATTAATAAATTCTAATTTATTTTATTAGGAAAACAATATTATTTATCACTTCGGAATTGATCATTGAATAACTGAAATGTAATATTATCTGTTGTTTTGATCGACACAATAAAAGTCGATTACTTCAATATTATGGGATAAATTTCTTAATAGAAGCTGAATTCACACAAATTATACAGTGTTATTTTCTTTTTTTGATATTCAACATTGTTTTACTTATCCAGATCATTGAAAAAGTATTTAACCTGTAGGGAATCCAAAAAATAACACAATTTAGTCTGATAAAATCAAAGATTTACAAAAATGTAATTGTACATTTATATATTCAAGCTAGATAATATCGATAGGCATAAATATTAACATTGGTTGATCATGAAAAATGAATCATTTGACCTGGAAACATTGAAATCATTCTTCCATTGTAGGTTCAATTTATCTGCTAAGTTTATCCAATTTTCGCTCGCGTTTTACGTGTTAGTAAAAGGTAGATTGTGGAATACTTGACCATTCTTACAAACTATCCGTTCCCATACATATCTTTCTTGTTTATACTGTTAATTCGGTAGTTTAAATAGTTCCCCTACTTGTAATAATTCTTATTCCATCATCCCTTCCTCTTATGCATGTTCCTCTTTGGAACTTTTTTTCATTTTGAACAGTTCGTCTATTCCCATCATCCATAAAATTCTGATTGAATTCTATATACTTGCGGCATTTCAGCGCATATTGTAAGATATTGCAACCGACTATTTTTGAACTATATTACCTGAGCTTAGTTTTTAATATCTTTTTCGTAATATCACACAATATTTTGACTTCATTTCTTTGTCAATGAAGTCATAAAGTATAATAATTTGAGCCGAAATGTTCCAAGTCTCAACTTTTTTTATGATTGACTGAATGATCGTAGTATATTGTTTGGATCTCCCAATAATTCTTCGATAATGTCTCCAAAAGCAATAAAAATGGTAAGTACATTTCGTCCAGTCAGCGTATGTTATGAAGACTTCAGTATTATTACTAATAGTAGTATCAATAACATAAAATATGGAGAGAATACTATATGATCACAATAATGAAATATCAATATGCACGTGACATGAAATAAAACAACGTAATTACTTCACGTTCAGTATCCTCAGGTAAATCAGTACAATGAATAGCATTTTTGACTTTAGTAACTCCAAATCTAGCTCTTAGTGTATCCGGTCGTAAGTATTTTGCAATTTCCTGTATAGAAAGAAAAACATCAATTTCAACAAATGAAATTTCCAGATAGATTTCTGCCAGATAATTGTGGCGGAATACCGAAAACCTAGTTTACACGCATGTTGGTACTAATCACCAAGACGTACCCGGAGATTTTAAGGAACTGGCGATTTCCCAGAAGTTTAGGTCAACACTAATTAATTGACATGAACGTTTTTACGATCTAAATATCGATAAACTTAAGCATTCGAATAGATTTGACAGTTCATATGCATAACTAATTACTGAAAACAAGTCAAAAACAGTTGAAATGTTAATGGTCCATAATTTAATCAGATTTTCACTGATAAATGAAGCCTTTTTGTTTCACCACAGTGCATATTCTACATTCACTATCCATCAACCACACTTATTTCATTATTTTAGAGTGGGTTTGGAAATCAACAGAGCATGAGTTGTCCTGAAGTCAACGATTCATATCGCTGCCTCCAATCTTAAAGATTGTTTCATCTAACTCAGTGACTTTAAACACTTTCTTTCTAGAAGATTCGCTTATAACTCTAGTTATCTGTGATTTGAGATGTTTCTTTTCTCAGGTTGAGCCATTCTCCACCAAATATTTAGTCCATCACAACAAACATGAAGTACTTAAACCACTGAGCCATGATTTTGACATGAAAATGATAAACCGTTAGTGGAAAAATGTATTTAGAACTTTAACAAATCGCAATTTCAGGAAACGGGTGATGATGTTATTAATTACGAAACGAAGAATAATGGTTTTGTTATCAGAAACTAAATCAATTAATTTGGGACTGAACATAGAACTTGGCTATCATTATTGGTGAGCACGAAAGTACTTTTCTTTGTAAATACACATGTAAGTTATAGACTGACATTTTATCTGAAGCAAATTGAAAGAATCAGCGATGGATCTATGAGTGATTCGGATCACATATTGTAAATTCTACCACATATAGTTGATGTCAAAAAGTACAGATTTAATGTTTTGATTAATTAACAATGAGAAATCCATTAAATAATATATGCAGAAGAAAACTCACTGGGTCTATTGGTCCAGTGAACTCCCGGAAAGCTTGACGGACATTTAAATTGGGGGTCCGGAATATCTATTTCCAATGCTATACAAGGTCCTGAAGACAATTGATCCAACATCTCTGGATATTCTTGTACTACACCTTTATAAACCTCTAAAAAATCAGCTGCACCTGCTTTCGATAAACGATACAAACGAGCTGCTGTCACGCAAAATCCTTTTTCATTAATTGCACTCCAAATTTTCCCAGTAAGACCTATAACATGAATTAAATTTGTAATTACTTCGTAAAATGGTAAACATGAATGATTTCAAAGAGTTTACACATATGAATCATGAAACGTAGCCTATCCTTTTTTGCCTGAACTTGACTTTGATTCGTGGGACATTAATTTGTCATTTATTTTGCAGATTGTGGCATAAACAGTGTTGAATTGAAAAGAAAACTGGCTATTCACCTGTCCGATGGGATTTAGGTCCACACATAATATCTGATGAATGTTTTCTTTTTATTGTGTGTGTGTCATTAATATTATTTGAACTTCACAGGAGTTAGCTACAATACACATTGCCCTTTTCATCACCAAAAGGTAAACCACTGTAACAATAATTGTTTAAAGACTGAAAATATTCAGCAATAAACTAAATTGGTTGAAAATTGTATCAGGTGTAGTGATTGAAAAACAATACAGATATGTTATCGGTTACTTTATTGTTTAACTCTTCAACATATAAGATAATGTTCAATGATATAACTTACAGTACAAACATTAGGTACTACGTGAAAGACTACCAAGTAATCTCTTTGACAAAAGTGAATAAAAGCACGAATGTGTACGTTTACATTTAGATGTATTACTGATTTAGTTACTTGCTTAAATGTGTGACACGAAACTGGAATAAGTAATATCAGTAATGGTATTAAATAAAACAACTCAGCTGTAAATAGGCTTAACTTTTCTATGAATGGTTTTTGTTACGTCTGGCCGATTGTGAACGCTATATTCGCTTCCCTAAGCTAGTTCCGTACCCCCGAGCTAGACCTATACACCAACTTGAAGACCAGAGAAAAGGCACAAAGTGTGTGGGAAGCACTTTACTACGGGGTTCATTTATGTACAGAAAATACAGGGATTTTATAGTAATTTAAGAGACCTTGAGTTTTACCGAAAGTTCTAGAATACTGCTAAACATAGTAGCAGTATATTAATCAGCCAATCAGGATCTCCACATGTGACTTTTTCATCCTCGTTATTTTAGTAACATAACTTCTAATTAATCGCTGATTGGTTGAAATGCTCCTTGATGACTCACGAGCTTGTAAGAAAATTACAGGGTCATCCTAGCAGTTTCGTTCAAGGGTTACATAAGATTGCATTAGCAGTATACACCTGGACATAAAACCCTGAAATCTGTATGACAAAGCGTGCGTTCACGCTTTCAAAATTTTACATAACAACAGTTGCTTGATAAACTTCAGAATTTCTAGTTTTAATCACAAATACCTCACCATAAAATATTTGTATTAGTGTTTAAAAAACTGACTCCTAATATGCTGTATAAATATTTACTGTAAAATTCTCTAAAACAAGTATTCACAATTCATTGTGAGTAGTGTGGGATTAAGTAAAGTGTCACTTTAAACATTAATTTTTCAGAGCTTTTAATGATGTATAAACGGATATTTGAAACTGTTTCTTATCCTTGCTCAGGGGTGGCTGTCTTCTTGTGAATGATTTAATCACTCCCACCTAACATGTTACAGGGAAAGAACAACTATTCACATAATACGTACATCTAGCCTTCAGTCTTCCAGCTGCATCTTACAGAGTTTTTGCAATCTAGTTAGTTCTCAACCGTTTTCTCTCCAGACATTCAAGTTTCTGTCTCCACTGTGCTTTAGAATATATGAATTTTACGCAAACTAAATTACCGTCAGATACTGCGTATGGTCGTATGACACACAATGTTGTGTTCTTTAGTAATGCTGCTTCATGAAAATTTGGTCCACCAGGATTTCCAAATATTTTATTGGCTTGTTTTTATGAGTAACCGACATTTGACGTGATCATAAATAAATCAGGATTGGATAAAATGTTTTCACTACTTCCTTTTGGTCCATAAATAAATTCATATAGAAGTGAGCACACATTTGTACCCATTACCTCCAAAGCGATAAGTTGTTTTCCAGTCAGTTCATTTAATAATGTACTGAATAAAACAAACAGTTTGAGAAAAGATTTCATTTGGCATGAAGGTCAACAGTTATTTAAACAGAACGGGATCACTCTGGACCTCAAAATCTACCAACTCACTTTAATCATTGAAATGGATATGCTTTTGCGCCTTATTCAACTATGTATATAATTGTGAAACTAGTCAAATTGAAAAGATATAAAATTAGGAAGTGTCAAACAACTGGAGACAGCTGTACAGTAGACTAAAGACTACATTTTAAGCACTGGACGATAGTTCTGAGTACTGCTTTATCTACTTTAACTGTTCATGACCATATAGTACCTCTCGCTATCAAACGAGACATTTATTCAAATACTACGAATCATATAATTAAGGTTAAGAAACTTGAGTTACTGATGAAGACACGAAGCAATTAAGTGTTCATTACCAGATTATTATAGAATCAACGCTGAAACATATTTAAACAGCAACACCTTAAATAGTTATTTAAACTTCAAATCATTGACACATAATGTTTGGGAGTTGTATTAATCTACATTGAAATCCAACTTGTAAATCGAGGCATTAAAGTTTTCAGACGATATAACTGAAATGCTTTTTAGATCTGGCTAGATGCCTATGTCAGCTTAGTTCTTCAATATCACATCCAGAATCTTGTGGCTAATGACTCTGTTATGGTGTTTCTTTATCTTTTTTGTTATTACAATTTTCATGTCTCGTTTTTTACAGTTATCAATTTCTCGTAATTCCGTGGATCAAAAGATCTTTAACCGGTACATAAATGTGTAAAAATCAACTTTGTTTCCATCTCTCTGTTTGGGTAAAATATTAGTTTTTGCTATCATACTGAAATAACGTATACCGTATTAACACGCCAAAATAAAACCAATACAAAACTAAACTCTTCACCTAATAAGAGTTAATCTAATGGGTTACGATAATAACGTAGATTTCAAGGTAAAAGCTTATTGTCTGTTTTTACAGGATTACTTTAGTCAGTAGTAGGAACTATTTTAGCAGTTAATGTTATTTAAGGTTCATACATCAGCTATCAGATTTACTCTATTTCTCTGATTTATCGCTAAAAACTGACTCAATAATATTTAAACGGCAATATTGCTAGTGCAGTGTGGCGTCCTTTGAATTATGAAAATATAATAAGCTAGTAGATAAGAATAAGAGGTACTATCACAATATGAAGAAATTATAGTAATCCAAAGAGAATCAAGTGGGTAATATAACAATGAAATGACGTGTAATATTCAATATATCACATATAATGCAACACAAACTACGTGTAATAACTTTTGCACCTCGATTTTTATTTCAGTTCTTTGTGACTTCATTGATAAATATTTTTAAACAGAGGTTAATACTTTATAAAAAACATACGTATGAGACTTTCAAAGTGATAGGATTTAAGTCTTATTTCGGACAGAAGGTAAATCATAGAGAACTTTTGGCAGTATATCGTCTAAATAATTACTTTATCATGACATATATTCTGATTTAAAATCCAACATTACTTTCACACAAAAAGAATGCACATTTCAGTCTTGAATTACGCTGAGAAAAATTATAAGACTTACGGAATGTTTGAAAGACTCGTGTAGTTATCTAAAAGGGATTTTAATTCATCTGATGTGAAATGCACCATTTTTAGATTAATAATTCTAAGTGATTTGTCCTCCAACATTCCTATAATTTCACCAGCCCTGAAAACGGAGGCTGGAGGGATAAAAACAACACACCTTTACAACCAATATCATGTAAAAAGTGTACATTTACCTTTCTGAACGACTTAAAAATTCACGTTTAGTGAACTCATCTCCTTAGTCCACAATTTTTAACGAGCGAGAAAGTATAGTGACCGTGCTGCCTAGATAAAAGTCAGATAATTTTAGTCCTTCAATCCTAGTAAGTTTAAGAAAAAGCCTATTAGTTTTCTCCTCATGCTTCGGGAGAAATGAAGAAATCAATGAAGTTTACCATTTCCACAGAAGAAATCTTTGTGTGATATATGAGTAGAAATCTTCTGATCAAAGATGATATCGCATCAAACCATTCAACCAAAAAGCAGTATGATGGGTCCGTTTTACTCTAAAGGTATTATTAAATGTACAAGTACTTACCATACTCTGTGATGTTTATTATTTTATATATTTTCGTCAAATCTTAAAGTACTTTGCTTGCTAAGGGAGTTTAAGGAGCAACGTGGTAGGGAATCTAGAAAAAACGAAAGAGAAAATGTTAGCCGACGACTTGGTGAAGGCATTGACATCTATTGATAAAAGCCATCAACAACAGTGAGAAACAATGCAAGTATAAGTGCTAAAACAATCTACAAGTCGAGACTAACAACTGATAGAATAATGTTTTGACCACGTTATAGTTAGTTCTTTTAAATTGTTGTGCGTGATCGATTAAGTGATAACAGCACTTTTAGTCAGTCAAACAAATATTCAAATAACATACGGCACGAAAGTGCTATTTGTAGAAAACTTAATAATAAATAAATGTTTCTATAAAATAAGCCACCCGAACACCAAACGTAGAAACTTCTAGCAAATTTGCTTTGGTTGTGCGCGCTATTTAAAAAGGGCAGTGGTATTTTTCCTCATTGAGTAAATTCTATTGTTTTGATCGTTATTAACGTATCAAGACTACTGTTTTTATACTTTGATGGAATTTCTTTCAGTTAAAGTATTGTATTAGAGTATCATCTTTGGTATCCTAAATAGTTTTTATCGTCGGTACTCCAGAGTACCTTGTTTTTCCTTTGTGTCTGTTAGTACTTTGGTCCTAACTGTTTATAGTTTTTTTTTTCTACTTGTAGTCAACACTCACTTTCGCATCCTAAAATGACTGGAAGATGCAACAAAAGCATTTGCCACCGCCCAGGATGTCGATATCCTGTTGATAGCGGCATGCAGTGCGATGAGTGCAAAGGTTGGTACCACGATGTTTGCACGAATCTAACACCTGCGGCTTTCAAGCGGTTCAGTAAAAATGGGTGCTTATGGCTATGTCAACAGTGCTGTTTGGATGCAAATAACCTGTTAACCGAGGCCATCTCAATAGTAAATGCCGCAAAAAAGTGTCTCGGCAAGCGCGGTCGGGATACATCAGTCAGAACTCAATCTGTCGACACGCAGATTGACACAAGGCAGGCCCAAGTGAGTCCCAAAACTGCCGACCCACACCCTACTAAGGAGGAAGAACATCCTCCAAAGAGGACTGTTACAACCAGAAACTCGCGCAAAAAAGTCTCTTCTGTCCCTCGTATCAAAAATGGTACCCAGAAAGGAACTTCAGGAAGCCAAAACCGCAAGGCTCGATTGGTTTCCAGCGCGAAAGGTGACCCAATCTCCCAAGTCGTCCTGAACCTCCCGGAATCCCACAGTACGCCTGACGCGACTGTGGTTACCACTCCAAAGAACGTTGGCGATTGCGTACGGATCGTAAGAAAAAAACGCCAAAATGACTTAAAAGGAAATCATACCCCCACCAAAAGGGTCGACAAGCCGAGGTCTGATCACAGCGACAGATCAGTCATTCTCCATAGAGTCAAGGAGAGTGACAACTTAGAACCGAAAGCTCGTTTTGAGCATGACATTGTGTTGATAAAACAACTACTCAACCAAGTTATGCCCAAAAACATCCCCGGAGTCACCTTGCTAAAGGTGTATAGACTAGGAAATCTAGCGCATCTGAAACCAAATCAGTCTAGACTACTCAAAGTCGTTTTCAAATCCTCAAACGAACGCGACTTCATCTTGGAAAATGGACACAAATTAAAGGGTTCAGGAGTTTTTCTCCCTAAGGACTTACCGTTGGCGGACCGTGTTAAAAGACGGGAAGCCGAAAAGGAACTACAGCTCAGATTAGACGCTGGCGAAAAAGACCTGAAAATTGTAAATTTTCGGGTTGTGAGGCTTCGACAGAGGATGATGCCGAAGCCACTTTGGGTGAAGCACGAGGCCACCTAAATAGGCTTCGGATCTGTTATACCAATGCCCGAAGCTTACTAAATAAGCTACCGGAACTAGGTGTACAGATTGACTCAACTAGGCCGGACATAATCGCAGTCACAGAAACATGGCTGACGCCGTCTATAGATAGTAGGGAACTTGATTTCGAGGGTTTTACATTGGTAAGGGCCGATAGAATACAAACGCGTAAAGGAGGGGAATTAGCTCTATTCATTAGGAATGCTATTCCATTCACCATTATCGACAGTGTATCCCATGAGAGTGGGACGTATGAATTAGTTAGCTGCCGCCTGAAATGCAGGGGACAAGAGTTGCTACTTAGTTTGATCTATCGCAGTCCAAGCTGTGAGGCAAACGAGGTCCTGCTAAGCAGTCTCAACACTTTTTCACGAAGTGATCGATGTCTAATCCTAGGGGACTTTAATGCACCCATGGTGGACTGGGGAAATCTGCGGACTGAATTGCCAGCAAACTCCTTCGAACAGGAACTAGTTGATGCGGTAATCACATGTGCCCTAGTGCAACACGTGAAGGAAGCAACTAGGTACGACCCGGATTCTGCATCATCCTTACTAGATCTTATATTGACTCATTATGAGGATGATGTTGCAAACCTGGATTACACGCCACCCCTAGGCAAAAGTGATCATGCAGTTTTAAGCTTTGACTTCCATATAACTGTCGATCACGAATACGCTTCAGCTCAATCCAGACCTAACGTCTGGAAAGCAAACATAGCAGATATCATGAAATCAGCATCATTAGTAGATTGGAAATTAGACCCAGAGTCATCAATCGAAACGGCTTGGGACGTATTCCGGAATTTATACTTAAAAGTTACCACCCCCCACATCCCTTGGACTACACCTAAAAGACCGAGAAACTCCCCACCGTGGTTCAGTAGGGAGGTTCGCATCCTTCTCCGTAAAAGAAGGAAAATGTGGGACAGATTTAAGTTACTGGGGACTGACGAGGCAAAATCTCAGTAACAAAAGGCCCGAAATACCTGTGCCTCGACCCTCCGTAAGGCCAGAAAGTTGTACGAAGAGAAAATCGTAAGGGAATCCATAGAATGCCCTAAACGCTTGTATTCGTATATAAACCAAAGGACAAAAAGAAGAAGAAATGTTCCTTCACTATGGGGAGTCAGTACTGCCACATCACTAGTGGAGGATGACTTTGGCAAAGCTCAAGTATTCTCTAAATACTTTAGCGATGTATACACCATAGAAACACCCTTCTCACCAGTCCATGAAAATCCACCCACACAAGCACTGGACAGCGTAACCATTAAAGAACTCGATGTCTTTGGTCTGCTAATTAAGCTTGACATAGGTAAATCCACTGGACCCGATGAACTGCATCCTAAACTACTAAAGGAATTAGCTAACTTTGTTGCGAACCCTTTAAGTGTATGTTTTATTCTATCCGTAACCCAGGGTCGTCTACCAAAAGACTGGAAGAACGCCATAGTAAATCCAGTCTTCAAAACAGGTACAAAACATAAGCCTGAGAATTACCGACCAATTAGCCTAACTAGTGTGGTTGTTAAAATCTTAGAAAAGATTATTCGGAAGGAACTGTTAAAGTATCTCGATGAAAACCGGATCCTCTCCGAAAAGCAGCATGGTTTTAGAACAGGTTACTCTTGTCTCACAAACTTATTAGTCGCTCGTGAAAGCTGGTGCGCTCTTAAGGATCAAAAATTACCTATAGACGTAGCTTACATCGATTTCAGCAAAGCTTTCGACAAAGTTCCGCATAACCGGCTGTTATATAAGCTAAGGAATGTCGGGATTGGAGGCAATCTATTGATGTGGATAAAAGACTTCCTAGTTGGGCGTCAACAAAGAGTAAGGGTGAACTCCAAGTTGTCTAGCTGGGAAACTGTACTTAGTGGAGTCCCCCAGGGTACAGTTTTGGGGCCAGTGTTATTCCTTCTGTACGTAAATGATCTCCCTCGTCTACTATCGTCATCGGTCTTACTCTATGCCGATGATGTAAAGATATGGAGAGCGATACAAAGCAAGGGCGATAGCTTAGAACTTCAAAATGACCTGGAGAGATTATCTGAATGGTCCCAAACCTGGCAATTGCCGATAAACACTTCCAAGTGTATTGTGATGCATATTGGCCATCAGGGTACAGATACATACACGATGAATAACACTGAGTTACCTATTGTCCAGACACACAATGACTTAGGAGTCATCGTTAGTCAAGACTTAAAGACTACTGCACACTGCCGTGCAATAGCCGCCAAAGGTTTTAGGACTTTATGGTCCATACGCAGGGCTTTTAGGCATCTTGACGCTAAAACGTTTTTGACTTTGTATACAGTGTTCGCACGCCCTAAACTTGAGTACTGTATACAAGCAGCTAACCCCTGCCTAAAAAAAGACAGTGAACTCTTGGAAAGGGTTCAGAGAACAGCAACTAGGCTGATTCCCGGAATAGCGAAGCTCCCGTATGGTACTAGACTGACCAAGCTAAACCTATTCCCGCTGTCATATAGAAGAATCAGAGGTGACTTGATTATAGTTTTCAAATTGCTTAATGACAAATTTGCACCTGATATGCCCTCATTTTTCTTGTCTTCCAAAACAGAAAATCTACGAGGACACTCCAAAAAAATTCACAAGCCCAGAACGAATTACTTGTCAGCTGACTACCGACTTTCCCATCGAATAATCAACGAGTGGAA